TTCCCTGGTCCAGCCCCACTGCCATGTGATTCCTAAACTCTACAGGTGCTAGGGTCAGGCTGTGGGATTAGGAGAGCTGTGTGTGGTGGGCAAGAATTCTTACACTCAGCACTATTCAGACCACACTCAATAAAACTTCCAGACTTGGAACCCTGAGAGCAGTGGGCTCCAAAGGGAATTATGACTCTAATGGAAGTAAAAGGCTGGCACATGTGACAAGAAGCTGGCACATTTGAGGGACATTAGATTTTGAGAAGGCTGAAGCGTGATTTTAGTTGTAGCCTTTATATAAGTAAAAGATTCCATATCCAAAATGAAAAGTATTTCGTTGAGGTTTTAGTGAAATGGATCCCAAGGATGCAGGATGCTTCAGGCTGTGAACTCACCATCTCCTGTCCTGGGGGGTCTTGGGGGGACCCTGTTAGCACCTCAGTGGTACCTGCAAGGACCCAACTTCCTTCAGTCTTTCTACTTTTAGAAAATTACAGAACCCACTTCTGGGTGTAAGATAGTAAGGGTTATGTGCTTCCTTGTTTGCCTCTAGAAGATAAAAATGGGACAAAGAAGGCCTGTCCTCCAACAGGGAGTTGGAGTGAAAAGCTCTTTGCTCTTTGGGCCAGTTAGATCCAAGCCTCTCCCTGGACAGAGAGAGTCTGCGATGGAAGTTAACTGCAGATGATCGAAGCCAGTCATTGGCCACGCGGTGGGGTTGGCTTGGACTTCTCCAGGGTCTCCTGTGTCTCAAGGGCTGTCAGATGCAGTCCAAGTTGGTGGGAAGAAGGACTCATGCATTCAAGTGTGAGGAACAGACTGTGGGCGGGTATGCTTGATGGAAGCCTTTGCAGTAGAGGGGAGGGAAGTAGCCTTGGAGACGATTCTGAATGTTGGAAAAACTTGGCATTAATGGATGTAGAACCTGTCTTTAAAATGATAGATTTTCTTTTCTTTTTTTTTTGGTACCAGGGATTGAACTCACAACCTCACACTTGCCAGGCAGGTGTTAGGCCACTGAGCTAGCCCCAGCCCTAAAATGATAGAATTTTATTGGTCTGAGATCGTATCTCTGATTCTGTCTGAAGGGGGAACACGGTGGAGGGAGAGCAGAAGTATGTTTTAAGATTTCACTGCACTCCCCAGGGCATAGCTTACACAGGGCTCAGGAGCCTCTGCTCAGAGACAGAGTGTGGGTTTGGGAGAGGACAGCACTCTATTTACTTCTCGGCAGTGATTCCCATGTGTCTGATGTAGCCTGTCAGCTGGGCTCCATTTGGAGACCATTAGTAATGAACACAGAATAGAAATATTTTTTGAGTTCCTCAGAAATGTTCACAAAAGTTAATACTGCTCTAGGTCACAGAGGGAAGTCTCGCAAGTTCCTATGAACTGACATCATATGAATCATGTCCTGTCACCTCAATATAATAAATTCAGATATTTATAACAAGGACATATAAAGGATAGCTTAAAAACATGCTTAGAAGCGCCCCCAAAAGCCTGCGGAATGGAGTTTATCCTGAGGGCAGAGTACTGAGAGCTGGTGACACGGGATGCACTTTTGTCAAAGTGCAGATAAAGCGTAACTTGAAGAGAACTTCATAGCTTTGAAACTATGATCAGAAATCAAGGAAGCCTGATAACAAAGAAACGAATGATTCAATTTCAGAAGCTGAAACCAGGGCAGTAGAGCCAATCTGAAGGAACAATGTGCTAGTCTGAGCTCTTACTGTCTTGTTTTTGGGTGGCGATGGAGTTTGACCTTGCATGCTCAGAGTTGTATCCATGAGCTCTGCTCCCAACCCTGGCTCTTACTTGGAAGCAACAAAGCCCTCATGGACTGGACTCTGCATAAAATGTATGTGTCAATAGACAGTTATTAAATGACAGGACTGTTTTCTTGAGAGTCCCAACAAACTGGTTTTGGAGGCCGCAACATCAGGAAACTCAAGGACTCCCCTACCCAGCAGCTGCCTCTGTCCAGCACCAGTAACCCTGCTTTCCAGTGCTAGGTGTCCTTGACTGACTGATGTCCGCAAGATCCCTGGAGCAGGAGTACATTGTGTACATAAGGCGCATGCCTGGCCCTCAGGCTGGTCTCGCTCAAGTCGAATTCTCACAGGGGAGGGGGTGCTGTGGCAGAGTCGGGGACCCCAGATTAGAAGTCTGTCGGGGAGGATTCTGTCCTTCCCCTCTGAGACAGAACTCATTACACAGGGATTCAGTGGACATGGTGGGGGGGATTCAAAAGGAAGGAGATACTGTTAGGATTCAGCGAAACAGACACCTGCCTTCTGCAATACTGAGATGATTTGTTGAACCACCAAGGACTTCCTTGAAAATAGTTATAAAATAGAGCACCTCCGTGGAAATCCAGAAGAAACATTCGTGTTATACATACACACGCACACACGCATATGCACTCACTTAGCAAAGAGCTGGAGGATGTGTTTTGGTTTGTATTTTTGGTGCTGATGGCTGCAGCCCAGGCCTTGTGCACTCTAAGGACGTGCTGAACCACCAAGCCCCTGGGGTTTATAATTTATGAACTAATCATTTTCTGCTGGCCAAGTAAGGGTGCTGGGATGGAGGCTGTGACCCATCAGGTTCTCCTTGGGTGCTTGCCTCATTCCCCCAGCCCAATTTCTGGGTTTTCTGGCAATACCTCCAACAAGACCGCACAGAATCAGGAGCACAGCCCCTGCACAGGGGCAGCTCATCAATGGCCCCCCTGCGGTACCTGTGATAGGGTTAGGTCACATGGAAGGGCACAAGTCTTCAGTGCTTCCTGACCATAGGAATGCCACAGGAAACGTCTTTATCTTGCTTGTATTTCCAGCAGTATAATTGCTGTATCAACAGGTCTGAGTAAGATTCAAGCACATATTACACTGTCACACCTCTTCCTCTGACTGTCATGACAGTGTGTGTCCTAGATGGCTGTGATGAGACAGGGCCTGTGACACAGCACTCTTTGCAGCTTGGATTATTTCATAGCAAAATGGTTTCTCATGGTTGTTTGAATCTGAATTTTAAGCAGTTCTTCAGGGTCAGTGATTTTCCATGCTTAGCTAATCTAATATTTATAATATTTGGTGAGGTGATTACTGCTACTCCCCATTTTACAGATGAGAAACCTGAAGGTCGAGGAAGTCAGAAGAACTTTCAGCCCTTCAGTCAGCAAGGGTATAAGATTTGCACCCAGATTTTTTTGAGTGCAAAGCTTTTGTTTGTAATAACTGTTTCAGCTCTTGGAAGATATACATAGTTGATTGAGTACATATATTAAAATATCTGGAGATTAAAGAAAAAAGAGCTTCTCAAAGATTGTTCCAAGCAACATGAAACTTAAATTTCTTTCGAAAAAGAACAGTTCAGTATGTGAGGAGTCGGGAAACACCAGATAGTATTTCTTCTTTTGGAGACTTCTAGCAAATGTGGCCTACTTTAAGGCTTGGAGAAAGCTTATGGCAAAAATAATCAAACATACACACACAAACCTTTGTTTAACGTACTGGAAAAGCAGCGTTCCAAGGAACATGCCTTGGGAAGTGTTGCCAAGTGGTATACCTTTCCTGTTTTCGTGTTTTATTGCGTTGGCTGGATCGCAGTAAATGATATCAGTGATAGTGGATAGTTTATTGCCGCATGATTTAATGAGAATATTCCTTGTATTTCATCGTTAACTATTATGTTGGGCATAAGTTCAAGACAGATTCAGACATCATCCGTCATCTTAAGTTATAATCCTTTCTTGTTTTCTGACTTACCCAGAAATGGATTTTGAATAGGAAGGAATCAACCTATCAAATAAAGGAGGGAAAATTCAAAAGTAATTTATTAGTTGAGGAAATGAAATAGCTAACCTTATCTATGGAACCTGGGACTTTACATATGCCAGGCGATCTCTCTGCCACTGAGCTGCATCCCCAGCCCTTGGACAGCGTTTCTGATGGACGAGGGGTGCTTCCTCGGGCTCTAGCAGAAATATTGCTTCTGCCATGGTTGGGGAAGGTACAGGCACCTTCCCCTGTGGGGTGATATTTGAGCTGTTTATCACCTTTACCCTTGATCAGAGAAGAGAAATGGCATCATCTTGGCTCATCTTTCCCTCAGCAGGCATTTTTGAGTGTCTACTATGTGCTAGGGCCAGTTTTGGGTGCTGGTTCTCTAGTTGCATGGTGGTGCCCTGTACTGTTGGTCTAGGCCTTTGTGTGGGGCTGTTTGGATTCCCCTGCCAAAGGACTCCTGCCGGGGGGGAGTCTGTCTTGCCTTTTCCCTTTCCCTGCTTGTCTTTCCATCCCTGCTTCCTAGCTTTGATAAACAAGTATCTTTCCCTCGGAAATATGTGCTGAACCCTCACTGTCCTGACCCGGTGCCGGCTCAAGAGTCCTCAAAACTGAACCAGAGCAGGAAGAGTTTTATTATTTTGGATGCAGACATTTGCTGTTGGCTGAAGTCCTCGGAGATGGACTTGGTGGTCCTGAGGAGAACTGCTGCATGAGTGATTGCACTTAAGGTTTGGAAACCATTTTTCACTAACAATTTCCTTGTCTACAAGTTTATGAGGCAGTAAATAGCCCCTGTGTGCATAATGAATTCTGACATCATAGGTCGATGGCACTTGACAGCTGCCAGCCAGCGTTCGCTTTTATTAGCAGCACAGCCCGAGGCGAGTAGCGAGCCATCCCCGCCCAAACATTCTGTTCCAAACCTTATGAGAAACCTCCCCAGCCCCTGCCTGTCTTCTGTGAGCTGCTTTTTCATGGTCCAAGTAATTTCCTCCTCCTTGAGGGTTGTTAGCGTGGGATGCCATCAGATTGCACGAGCCCTGCTTTGCACATGTGTCTTCAATTTGGGCTGTAGCTGTGGGCTGGTTGTTAGGAGGAGAGGCGTAGTCCTAATCTGAGAGGGTGACGGTAATAGTGGCTTCTCAGGTGTCTTTGACAGGTCTGGGAACGCCTACCTTCCTACTTTGGGTTTAGCCCCAAACTGGGACCTGTGAAACTAATTAATTAATCAATCAATTATTTATGGTGCTGAGCACGGGACTTCATGCACGCTAGGCAAGCACTGTACCACTGCGCTACATCCCCAGGAGGAGGAGGAAGGAGGAAAGCCTGGAGAGGGGTCATAAGTCCTGGTTTTGGCCTTTATGTATCTACTTTTGGTAAGCTTGAAAAGGCTTCAAAGGAAACAGGACACACAGAGGCAGAGGTACACAGTTTGGTACATGCCGAACATGATGGGTGGGGAGAGGTGCAAGCATTTGGGTTCAATCCCAAGCAGAAAGGAAGGAAGGAAGAAGGGAGAGAGGGAGGGAAGGACTGAAGGAAACAAGAAAAGACAAAAGAAGGAGGTAGAAATAAGGACAGTGAACTAACAGTGGAGGAGGTTTCATGTAAAACCAGCACTGTGGGGACAGTGTGGCTGGAGCGGAGGATTTTCTGCCTGGCCCTTGGCCTCCCCACCCTGTGGGCCCTTGGCAAGTGGACCAAGACCTTGGCAAGATAGGTTGGTGTTTACAAAAGTGAGTCTTCGTGGTATCTCTCAGCCACTCAAGAACCATCTGGCTTAACTTTTATTATGTGAGGGGGATCAAGGAAGTCGTTTAGTGATTCTAAGTCACGGGGCACGGGGCAGACTGCTGGCCACAAGGTGTCCAGCAGTTACACGTAAACCGCTTGGACTACCAGCCTTGGCCTGTCACCGGCCGGGCGCACACTCCCCTCTCCTCTCAGTCCAGCATGATAGCCTTTGCTGTTTAGGTCTGTATTTCATAATTCCAAAATCGTAAGATGATCTTCTTTTAGGTTCCTTTTAAAGTAGAAAATGACTGCCCTGGGGTTAATCCCCTAGGGCTGGAGTTGGACAGTGTCTCTGTGAGGTGTGGGAAGGAGGGGACCAGCTCAGGACTCGATTCCACAGGAAGCTCAGGCCAGGCACTGGCGTGGCACTGGCGCCCTGGTGCCCTTCCTCAGCAGCCATCCTGTGCAAGGCTGTGCCTGGCCTGGGCTGGACGTGTCTTCCCCACCTGATTTCCTTGGAGCTGAGCACCCAGTGGGGTGGAGAGGGTGGCCAGGGACTCACCAGGGACAGCGAGGGGCCCACTTTGGCTTGGTCTGCTCCCCTTAGACACCAGCGATGATTGTTCCATCCAGAGACTGTTCTGTTCCCCGTTGTCACTTCCAATCCAATCTCTCTTACGTGAAAAGGCTTCCACTAAAAGTTTTCATGTTTCTTACATGACATATACAAGTTCTAGGTGATTCCTCCACCCCTGGTTACTTTCTTTTCGATACCTTGATGACAGTTTGCTAATTGATTGTTGTCCAGAAGATTTTCTTGTCCCAGAAACCAATCAAACCAAAAGGTCCACGTTTTCCTGCTTTTCTAGGTGTCTTAGAGAAACACTCACCACTCTCCAGGCCCTTTCTTGGCAGCAGAGCTGCCTAGTACTTCCGGGGCCAAGCTGCCTTTCGTGATAGAGGCAGCATGGCAGATGGGTGGACCCTGGATAGTATAGCCAGACTGCATTCCCCGCGGGTTTCCTATACTGAAACTCCAGAGGCTCCCTCTGGCTGCAGTTACCTAGGTGATAACCTCCCTGCACTCCTGCGGGACACGCAGCACGAAAGCAAGATTTTCAGGCCCTTTCTGCTGTACACAGGAAGACTCATGTGGCCATCGGCTTCTTCCTGAGCAGAGGGTGGGGTCTGGGACCGTTCTGCAACACATGGCAGCTCCTTCCTCTGGCCGGGATCCTTTCCCCATGTGGTCCACACCCGAGAGCTGTTGCTGTCTTCTTTCTTAGAGAAGTTCTAGCCAGGACGGGCACCCAGGCTCCTCAGTGGCCGCTTTCTCTAGCACAGAGTAGGACACCACCTTGATGGTGCCTTGGAGGTGAAACTGAATTCCATGCTCAGGTCCGTCCTGAGTGCCTCTGGGCACCCAGGTGAGCGCCCCTCCCACTCGCAGTGCCTCGCAGGAAAACCTCAAACACACTTCAACATTGAAGCGGCCTCTGAGGGCGGAACCGAAATCTCTGTGGTTTCATCAGCGTAATTCCTGCAACGGGAAGATTTTTTTCCCTTTCATAAGTTTCTTCCCCTTTCACGTTTTTTTCAGCTGAAATCCTTTTCCAAGTTCCATTGTTGCAGAGTAGGTTATCTGTAGGTCAGCGGGTTCACAGGTTGTTTGGATTTCCTAAAATTGTGCTTTTGCCTACACGTGGCGTGCGAGATTGCGGCCGGGCCCTGGGTGAGCCATGCACCCGGGGTTGTCGCCCCTTCCGGTCCCCTCTGTGTGCAGTGAAGGTGGCGGCTCCCTGGGACCCAAGACTAAAAGCAGCAGACGCCAGTCCTGGACTTCTGGCATTTGTGTACAATCCTGCACTCTTCAGGACTCTCTTTCTCTCTCTCTCTTTCTCTCTCTCTCTCTCTCTCTCTCTCTCTCTCTCTCTCTCTCTCTGTCTTTTCTCTCTCCCTGCCCCCACCCGGCTTTCTTTTTTTTCCTCTTTCAAGCATTTTTCCATGACCTTCATGGGGCCAGCTACATTTTGCAATACTTTTCCTTTTGATGCCTAATTTTCCAGATATGGTATGCAGCTGACTTTTGGTTCAGATGGTCAGGCCATATAATGCCAGATGCAAATGCAGATGTTTACAAGTTCATAGAATAGAAGATACAAGTGTCCTGACACTCCAGTGTGTCTTGTGAAGCCTCCTTTTTCTATTTAGAGAGAAGAGTGGGATAAAAACATCCTAACAACCCAGATATGCTTAATTTCCTGCTTGAACAGTTATGCTGCAAAGGCGCTTGTTTGCATATGAAATTGAATGGTGTGATAACTTGGGGAAACTTTGATCTGAAAAGCATTTTCCTTTACAGTGCTCATGCTGGGCTTGGTAAGAGTGCATTGCACACAGGTTTATCAATAGGGAAGGGTTCATCCATGAACAGCACAGTTTAAAATGGAGGTGTCTCAGTCATGGTGGGAATTACTCCTAAACTTCATTCTGAAAATGGTATTTTAAAAGCTTATCTAGTTTTCTCCTCATTAAGAGTAAAAACACTAAAGTTAAAGAACTTTTTGAGTTACTAGTCAGAAAATAAGCCTTAAAATTGCATCCTTGGGTCTGATGCTTCCCATGGGATGAAATACTTCTTATCATGAATCCATAGATGTGTTTTGCTTCAGACTGGATTTTTTTTTTTTTTTTTTTTGGTGTTTTTCGTTTTTATCGGTACCAGGAATCGAACTCACAACCACCTACTTGCAAGGCAGGCGCTTATGCCACTGAGCTAAATCCCCAGCCCCCCAGACTGGATTTTTAAGTTTCAGTATTTTCATTGTGATGATGCTGATGGAGTCACAAGTTAGCATTTAAGAAAATTTCATGTTATCAATACTTATTTATTCAGTAGTCACTGTAGTCCAGGAACTTTGCTAGGGGCTAGCTCATGGGGGACAAAACTAGGGGAGCAGGAATTGGTGACAGAATAAGGAGGGTGACGCGGTTCTACACTGTACCCCGAACTTTGTACATTGAAGACCTGAGCCCCACTTCCTTGGCATGCAACAAAGCCTGGAGACAGGTTCTTCAAGAGGAAAGGAAGGAAAAGAGTCCTGTCAGGGTCCAGGTCCAGTCTGCCCGGGGTCCTCATGATGCACTTTGAGGGACATCTTGGGAGGACTCAGGGGGAAGACGGGGTCCCAGGAAGAGCCGATGCCGAGGATGTAGGCCTCGGCCTTCCAGCCTCCAGGACGATGAGAAGGTGGACAGGCGGCTGCTATCTGGACCACCTGCCTGCCGTGCCACCTGATCCTGTATGGAGCTCCCCGACGAAGTGGGCGAGAGGAGGAGCATGTGAGGGCAATGAGGAAATGTTAGCCCCTTGACATTGTGCTGTAGGACCAAGTGGCACGGAGTTTTTGTTTGTTTATTTGTTTATTGTTGGTCTTTTTTGAGACAGGGTCTCATTATGCAGTTCAGGCTGGCCTTGAGCTCACTTTGCAGCTCAAGTCAAAACGATCCTCTTGCCTCAGTCTCCTGAGTGCTGGGATTACAGGCATGCACCACCATGCCCAGCTAGTAACACTGAATTTTAAGAAGCACATGCAGAATAAATATTCATGTCTGACCTCCTCGCTTACAGCAAGTGTAAGGGCACACTGTGTCTATGAGACCTGTTATTACTGTTAATAATCATTGCTTGCCGGACTCCTGGAACCTGGGGATGGTGTTATCTGCTGGACCGTGTCCCCCTAGCTCCATGTTTAAGGGTGAGGGGAGAGAGTGGGTGCTTGATACTAACCCCAACCAGAGTCATCCTCGCAGTGGAAAGATCCTGTCCTGAGCCAGAAGCGTTGTTCCTGAGCAGGAGCGAGGCGAGTGCGGCCTCATGAACATTATTCACCGCCTCCATTCTCATTGGGAAGAAGCCAAGCTCTGCTCGGCAGTCACATTTTTTTTCCCTGGTAAGTGGATAAATGTGGTCCGCTTCACTCAGTGCCTTGGGAATGTCTTACGGGTTATTTCTGGAATGGGCAAAGTTCAACACAGTCTGGAGCCAAAATGTCCCCAGTAGCCATCCAGTACAGCCTCGGTGTTTGCGGCATCCTCAGGGTGCTGTGCAGGCTGGCGGGCAGCAGAACACAGCCCGGGAGTCAGCAGCAGCTGCAGCACAGCCCGGGCCATGCGTGTGCACCCCGAGGTCCTCTGAGGGTCGGAGAGGGCGCGGCAGGGCGTGGGTGTTCTGAGACCCTGCTCAGCCTTGCACCTCCTCCTCCTGATGAGAGGCCCTAAAGAATGTGGGAAGCTCACATTTCCTCTGCTCTGCTTTTCTTTCTTCTGGTCCTGGATTCCACCTTTGAGACCAGCTCAGTGCAGCATCCCTGAAGCGTCTAAGGACAGTCACGAAGGGTGTGAGTTTTCGTAATGTAGTTTGTGGGTTTCTGGTCTCTCCAACTTTTATGGAGTCCAAGGGTGCAATTCTCTTCATAGTGACAGAGACAAAAGTAAGAGAGTTCCCACAGTGACGGGCGGGTGAAGACGCTGCTGCCTGAGAGCTGATGGGATGTGACTTGTGTAATCCCGCGCTCTCCACAGTTGTTTGGCGAGCTGGGTCGAGGTGTGGGCATTCGTGCTGTGTGAGATTAACCCAGTTTGCTCAGTCCTTCTCCTGTGTTCTCACTATCTGCCTTTCCTGTGCCGACTGTAATCTGCATCAGTTACTATTCTGAAGTCCCCGCTTTCCTGCAGGTAAACAGAAATATAACAAAATGTAAACATGTTTCTTATGTTTATTTGATATTTTATTTTTTCTGAAAAATCTAATTATTTACATATATATATGTAATATTTCCCCTTCTTCCTTTTCTCCTTTCCCCTATTCCAGCTGTTCTTTCCTTTTGAACACGTTCTTTCCCTTTCATCATCACAATATCTACTGCACATTTTGGATCTTATTTATTCTTTTTTAAAAATTTATACTAGGGAGACAATATGACATTTACTTACGTGAGTCTGATTTATTTCACTAATGAGTATGGTCTCTAGTTGCATGTATTTACCTATAAAAGCATCAAGTTTATCCTTATTTAGAGCTAAGTAGTACTCCATTGTATAAAATATATCTTTTTTAATCTATTTATGGGTTGGTGGGTATTTGGGTTGTTTCCAAGATTTAGCTATTACAAGTTGTGCTGCTATAAACATGGGGTCACATATATCATTGTGGTATGATATTTTTAATTCTTCAGGGAAAATACTCAGAAGGGGAATAGCTGGGTCAAATGAGACCTCGCATCCCAATTTTTGAGAAATCTCCATACAGTGGTTTTACAGTCTACACTCCCACCAACAGTGGAGAAGGGCTCCTTTTTTCCCACAACCCTTCCAGTTTTTATTATTGGCTGATTTCTTGATGAGAGCTGTTCTTCCTGGAGTGAGATGGAATTTCAGTGTTGTTTTAATTTGCATCTCTTGAATGACCAGTGATGCTGAACATTTTTTCATGTATTTAATAGTTTAGCATTTGAAGAAAAGATGGATTGAGTATTTTAGACAATCTTGATGAGTTCCTCTAGAGCTAAAATCCTTTGTTGCATCTTGCAGAATAGACAGGAAAGGGCGGCAGAATCTCCTCAGCAGGCCCCTGCTGCAGGGCTGGGTGGGCGCCCACAACAGCTCAGAGAACAAAGCCTTGCAGCTGCCCCCTGGCTGGCTCTGAAGGTGCTCTGTGGCTTCCTCAGGACAGCCGCCTGCTGTGACTGAGCCCTGCTGCTGTCCCAGGAGACAGCGGTGAGTTAGGAGTCCCTCTGCAGGGTTGTACTTGTTGCTTGCAAACCCAGTTTTGTTTGTATCCAGCTGCTGTCAAATCTAGGGCTCGCTGAAGGGAGCTGCTTCTCTGGCGGAGCTGGATCACACACCGGCTGCTGAAATTCAAGGTGTGATAAAAAATATGGTGAATGTGAAAATTCCATTACAGCAAAAGACACATTGCTATTTATCCCCCAACACATTCTTTCTCACTCCCACACACTCATCCCATCCCTTCCATGGTTCCTGCCACCTCCTGGAGCAGACGTCTCTGGTGCCAGCGCCAGTGCATGAAGCAGAGGTGAACTCTGATGTCTCCGCAAGCCTCCTTCCCTCTGGGTGCACTCAGTAGCAGCATTCACATTTTTAATGTTTTTATTTTTTGGTACTGGGAATCGAACTCAGAACCTTGTGTTTGCCGGGCAGTTGCTTATGTCGCACATTTTAAAATATGTTTTAGAAAACCATGAGGGGCTGGAGGTTTAGCTCAGCGGCATAAGCACCTGCCTTGCAAGCAGGCAGTCAGTGAGTTCGATCCCTGGTACCAATAAAAAGGAAAAAGACAAAAAAAAAAAAAAAAAAAAAAAAAAATTAAAAAAAAAAAAAAAGAAAACCACGAAAAGGGGATGTGCAGAACTGCTTCAGAAAGCAGGGAGAATGAGGGGATGACTGTGTTCTGAGCGGGGAGGAGTGTGCTTAGCGGGGTTAATAGCAGTGTCTGTTCCGGTAATGAACTTTTCTGATCTAAACAATCCCTGTATATTTTTCTCTCACCTCGCATTCAAGATCACGAATAATGTTTCTGAGTCTCATAATTTATCCTGAAAAGATGGACGGCGCAAAGGAAAGTGTGGTCAGGGATATAAGAGGCATAGCGCCTGCTTGGGAAGCACCGGGTCCTGAGTTCTGCTCTTGGAGAATAGAAAAGGGCTAATGTCACAAAGATGCCACCTCAAAGTCAGTGACACCTCTTGTGGCTTGCCACTGAATTCTTTATCACCATACTCTTCCGCTTCTTTTTTTAAAGTTAATTTTTTTTAGGAATATCTTTGTGAAGACCTGAAAATTACTGATTTTAATGAGATACCCACCCGTTGAAATGCTCTGTGTGACAAACAGAAATCCAGGTTGGTTCTTCTGCTATATATCCAATGACAACAGTCACATCAGACGAAAGAAAGCTGAGATAACTCTGAACTGACCACGAGGTGAGCTGCCCCTGCCTCTCGTCCCTGAGAAGATTAGTTTTACTTGAAAGAATGGTCGGAAAGTTGTAGTTTTCTGGCTCAGGTAGTTGGTAGACTTTTTCCTGAAAGTGAGCAAAATAAATTTGTCACTTCAAGGAAAGAATAATGGGGTCGTGTTTCTTGCCCATAGTAAAATTCAGACTGTCTTATAAAAATTAGGATTTTGGAAAACTCGTACCCACCCCTGTGAGGTTTATGGAGTCCTAAAAATTAGGGAACTTTCAGCTAAGATTAATAGTGCTATTAACACATGTTTAAAAAACTGTGTGATGGGGGCTGGAGATTTAGCTCAGTGGCATAAGCGCCTGCCTTGCAAGCAGGCAGTCGTGAGTTCGATCCCTGGTACCAACAAAAAACAAAAAACACAACAACAAAAAACACCAAAACAAACAAACTGTGTTATGAAATGTGTCATACTTAGGACATTCATGTCCTTCGGTGAACCAATCTTTTCAAATGACCAGGGCATGATGTTACAGAATCATGCAACGTAGACCATTTGATTTTTTGAAACAGAGCTAACAGGTTCCGTGATATGGTTTCAGATTCCATGTTTTAATTAATCTTTAAGGAATTCTCACTTCTCAAGTTCTGCCACGGTTTCGAAGCGCAGCTACAATTTCCTGAAGAAGTAGGCAAAAACCCTCTCAGCTGGTCTCTTCGTGTATGTGAAGAGAAGTAACGTGCTGCTATCGACTACGTGTAGCACAGCTATGAGAATCCAGCTGTCTTCTTGTCTTCTTCTCTTTCTCGGTGCTGGAAATCAGGTCCAGGGCTGATGCTGACAGGCAGGTCCTCTGCCACCAGGAGGCCAGCCCGCTGTCTTCCACCAACCCAACAGTGCAGAGATTTGTGCAATTTAAAAGTGTTACCCCTGTTTCACAGGTTTGTTTTGTTTAGAAAACAAATTATTTTTCATAAAATATTCTACTTATGCTAATGTATAACAGATTTATTATGACCCTTTTGCAAATAAATGAATGAAAAATATATTTACAACTTAGTTTCAAATTAAAACGTAGTAAAAATGGATAGGTAAAACCACCTACACAAAATCTCTCTGAGAAACTCAATTTTTAAGAATGTAAAGAGACCTTGAAAAAAACAACAACAAAAATAAAAACAAAAGTGAAAAATGATGCTTGGGAATCTTGACCAGACCATATCAGGTCTAGTCTTGGGAATTTCAAGAAACTGATTTATTTTTGAACAGTCCCTGCCCTATCTGGATCCAAATCTGTCAAATCAACTCAGCCAGCACTTTTGGCATCTACTGAGTTCTGGTCATGGTGACAGATACAATACAAAACCTGAGGTTTGAATTCAGATTTCCAAGCATCTGCACAAGGATGGGTGACTTTTGGATCCTAGGCGAGGCTGTTGGACCATTTTGGAATTTCAGGGGCAGCTTGTGCAGGCGTGGACTCAGGCAGCCAGGCATGTTTGGTAATGGGGAAGAGGAGGCTTCCTTCGTGACTAGCTCCTATCTTAACAGGGTAAAGAGCCAGAAGGGGTGCAAGTCTAATAAAAGAGGTCATATGAAATAGGCTTAGTTGTTCTTTGCTTTTTCAAATCATTGAAACCATACTGTACTACTCTAAATAGATATTAATGACATAGATATCATAAAAAGGCAAATTCAGTAATATATAAGCTAGAGGGTGGATACAGCCAGTGTACACAGAGCTCTCACCAGTTGTTAAGCAAAAGACAAATAATGTAATGTAGAAAAAGAGATAAAGGCAGTGTAGTCATTACATCCATGCAACAAAAAGGGCAACTAAAGAGGGAAATGCAGTTTCTGTAATAATGGTATTATTTCACTGATCATCTTGGTAAAAAATAAAAATAAAATGATTGAGACAGAAGTAGAGGAATGAAGCTTTCGATGTATTTTGTGGTCATGTGAATTTAGGCACTGATTTTGGGATATAGAGTGGCAATATCTTGAATTAGGAGGAAAACATCATGTACCTTTGATATAACAGTCTTACATTTTGGAATCCATCCTTGAGAGAAAGCACTTCCATAGGTAACACTACATATGCCAAGATATTTATTGCTGTGTTTTCATTTTTAGTGAGATGCACATTTCAAAAAAAGTCCCCATTTATTTTTTTTTATTTTAAAGAGAATAAAACCAAGCAAAATAAAGCATAATAAAGCCAATCAAAACAAATCAGTGTAAGTGACACAGGACTTCAGAACAATATCATAATGCCTCTTGTTGTCTTCAAAATAGCAGCAGATAACTTCAGACAGAGTAAAAATCAAACAAAACAGAACAGAATTGAACCAATAAAAACAAAATAATGAATGCGGTAAAGGACTTCAAAACAAGAGAATAGTAAACCCAAAATGGCTACTATAATATACCTTGCTATCTTTGAAACAGCTACCCATGTCACTGGATATAATAAAATCAAACAAAACAAAACAATAAAACCCAACCCAACAAAGCAATGAAAATGATACAGGACTTCAAAACAGGACAATAGGAAATCAGTAGTGGCCACCACCTTCAGAAGGAGAACACCCAGAGATGCCGCACTGTGCGCTGTTGTCCTCTGAATAGATGATCAGACCAGCAGCACTAGACCTGCAAGGTCAGTGAGACACCGAACTCCACAAGCATCACCTCAATAGCTGTCCCTGTAGCCTGTGTTTCTCGGTGTCAGCCAATCCCTGCCAGGGTAGGGTGAGGTGGGGTTGGCTCTTCTTGTTTCCTGGCCTGCGTGCCAGAGGGGCTGGGGTCTGGCTGTCCCCCCAGCAGCCCGGGAGTGGCACTGATTGATAGGGAAGGCTTAGCTTCTTGGTGACTTCTTGTTCTCTTCCCCCACAGTCCCTGAATAGTGCTGACTCATGGGACAAGGCTGGGGTCTGGCTGTCCCCCTGGCGATCACGGCCCATGCATGGTGCTGGTTCGCAGGGGGGGTTTGCTTCTTCAGAATCCAGCCATTTAAAATGTACGTTTCAGTGGATTTTATTATCATCATAGAACCATGTGACAATCATTACTAAATCTGTATCATATTCACCCTAACCCATGACAATGTGTTGTTCCCCCATTATCTGTCTCCTTCAGTCTCTGGAAATCACTAATCTATTTTCTATCTCCATGGATCTTTCCATAGTGAACATTTCATATATGTGGAATCGGACCACATAGGCCGTTTTATGTCTGGTTTCTTTCAGTTAGTACAGTGTATGCAGCTCACCCAGACTTTAGTATTTGCCAGCACTTCCTTTTCATGGCCAAATAGGATCTCATTTTGTGGATTTATCAGTTGATAGGTGTTTGGATTGTTCCTATTTTTGGCTATGATCGGTTATGCTGTTAGTAACATTCATGTGTTGTGTGCACAGGGGTTTCCAGCTGTCTTGGATACACATGTGGGTGTGCAACTGCTCAGCCACCTCCTGACTGTCTGTCGTCATGAGGCATGGTACACACTGCTCTGTAGAGCGCTGCACCACGTTACATTCCCACCAGCAAGGCAGGAGGGGTCCCGCTCCTCCAGGTCTTCACCAGCACTAGGTATGGTCCATCTTTTTTTTTTCTTTGTCATTCTGTTGGTGCAAAGTGTGGTTTTGATGTGCCTTCTCTATCAACAAATGATAGTGAGCATTTTGAAAACATCTTTATGTATTTGGAGATATGTCTGCTAAATACTTTGCTCGTTAAGGCTTTGAGTTATTTTTGTTGTTTGGGGTTTTGGTGTGGGGAAAGGAAGAGCTCAGTCTGAGCTGAGACTCTGGTGGGTGGGTTTGCTCTGAGGAGCAAGCACGAGGCTCAGAAGAAAGCATGAAGAATTCACACAGCTGATGTATAAAATCACGGAACTCTGCCCTTCGTGAGATGCCAGCTGTCACAGGAGTATCTGCGTAGAGAGCACCTGCTCTTTATGACAGAGATTTGTAAATGTGGTACAAGGCGCTTCTGGCTTGGCGACATTGGTATTTTGTAATTCTTATCATTTAGACTGTGCTTTTGGCAGTTGAATGTGATTTTGAATTTAGTTTCTTTTATTTCTCTCTGATCAAAATTGCCCTCCACTTGATTGATTGCTCAGCTGTATCTCTCAGGTGACAGCTTCCTCAGCGTGAGATCTGGGTCAGCACGGTTGGCCTCACCTGAGAACTGGTTTGGATTTCAGGTTTCTGGGCCTGGCTCCAGGCTGACTGATGCAGGAGCTCTGGCATGGGGCCTGGGCGTGTGTTTTCACCGCCCTCCACTGGGTGCTGATGCTGGCTACATTTGAGAACATTTGTCTAAAGGAATAAAAGTAATGGGTTATGAATGACAAAGGATGCATCTGCTGTTTTGCATTTGTGATCTCCCTCCACCTCTCTCTGCATAAACTGGTTTAAAATGTATTATTTTCTCATCTGATATAAAAATTTCAGTGGAAATGGAAAGGTTTTAAACTGGCAAACATGCATGGTTTGCCACAGATTTAACAACCTGAAGGTAAAAAATAGTTTTTAAAAATGACCGTCTGTGTCCTACCCGGGTGCAGGCTTTCCAGTTGGTTCTTCCCGCAACAGCACAGTATCATGGCTGCGTACACTGCTTTCGGTATGAAAAGTAGTGTGGAGGTGACTTGGAGGCCCGGAGGAGGTGGAGACACTACACCACCTCACTAGGGACTTGAGCCCCCGTGGATATCGAGGCCTGCGGAGTTCTGGAGCTGGCACCACAGACACCAGGGATGGTTACATGCAGGACATGAGACGTGACAGTTAACCATTAAACAGCAGGAGGAGTCCACACTGCTACTTATGAACCAATGGACAGGGTGAGGAAACCTACGTTCCTGAAGAATCGGAGGAGAGAACCATGAACAGTAATGAATAAATTAATAAATTTGTTTTAAAAGGGCAGAGTTCCGTATGGCCCTGTGAGAGAAAAAAGCTCAGCCAAAACAGGATAATCATGCAGAATAATCCACTATCAAAAACCCACCTTGACTCTCTGAGGAGGCTCCTACAAAGGCAATGTGGATTGCGTGTCTGGCATGCTTGGTTTCCTGGTTGTGAGAGTTGTTGACCTCATGGGGCTGGCTGGATAGAGGGATGGAGAAGGGGAAGTGATTGGTGAGAAATGAGTGTGCACACAGTTGTGTGTGTGTGTGTGTGTGTGTATGTGAATACACGGTGTGTTGCTTTGGAAGACCAGCTGGGCACACTGTGTTTTTTGTCAGTCCGGAGGGTGACTCCTCTTCCAGGGGAGGTTCCCACTTGGGAGCTTTCTGTGGGGCGAGGGAGGAAGGCAGTAGTGGCCATTCTATTGCTTTTATTACTGTTGTCAGACATGCTGAGTTGACACCATTTCTTGGAATATCTGTGGGATACAACACCAATTTTATCATAAAGGCGCATAGTTAGGGTTGTATATACCCGTTTATTCTTTAGAATATTTCTATTAATCATTGATTTGAATTTTATGAGTTTTAACAATTTTATGAGTTAAACAATGAGTACTTAACAGGAAAAATATAAAAAAGCAAAGTATTGAAATTTTAGTATTTAATTTTTATAAAAAAGCATCAAAATTTTCAATATTGACTGTTTTTTCATGTACAAAGTCTAAAAAGTAGCAACTGAAATAAATTCTTGCATCAATTACAATTAAAATACCAACAGAACTCTACAATAAAACAATCTTTACTTTTCACACATAAGGCAGTCTTCACACTGAAAGGTTCTTGCCCTAGAATAAATTACTCTATGGTTATGGCGGTGGTCTAAAGTGGCAGCAGGCCAAAGCAGGACCACCTACCACTTCCTGCTTCTTCCTCAGCCTTAACTGCAACTCACCTTTCTGTTTGTGCATGAGGAAAACTCCAATCAGCTCCTCGCGCCTCATCAATGCCCACCCTGAGCGCCACCCCTGGTGGGAGGTTATATACAGATCCCATACCCCACATTCCAGCAGAGAAAGCCAGGCTGCTGGCGGTCATGGAGTTCTCTCCATGTCTTTAGAGTAAAGGCTATTTTTACTTTATATTCTCTCTTTTATTGCTCTGAAAACTCATTTACACACGTGACACCAGCATGTCCCATACACACATACCACTTACACTGGAAGCACATATGGATTGCTTTCCTGGCCTTTGTGTAGGACACGCTTGATATCTCACTGGTCTTACTGTTTTACCTGGAGGTTCTTATTATATTATACAATGTGTAGTTAACAGAAACATAAAATATCAATAAAATGAAATATTAAATTCTTAATATATATTACACATTGAGGAATAAACATTTTCACATCAGCTGAGTACTTGCTTATAAAACCTAAAAGACAACATCAGAAATAAAAATCTATGTGAACTATAAATTTGAACAAAAGTCTACCACAGAAATAATCTTTGCTTCAACTATCACACCCAAGGTCGTGTGTACGGGACATCTGCGTGTTCCATGCACCATCTCACTGACAGCACGTGTGCTCAGCTCTCCTTGCCTGTGTAGCAGACCATTCTTGTCACCTCTCATATCTTTCTGCTCTCTCGGGAACTTCCTACTGTCTCATACAGTGTGAACTTGGCAGGAAAATAAGACATCAATGAAATAAAATATCAAACATATAATGAGTGCTTAGAATAGTTTAATGAATTCATAATAGCTGATACTTGCTTACAAAACCTAAAAGATAACATCAGAAATAAAACCTATTTAAACTACAGTGTAAACACAAACCAAAGTCCACCACAGAAACACTCTTTGCTTCAACAGTCACAGCTGAGGCAGTCTTTTCCCATGACAGCTGTGTGTTCCATGTACGAGAATCGCTTATGCTAATAGCACATACGTTTTGTTTTCCTGTCCTCTTCTGTAGGACACAGATGACATCTTTTTGGGCTTTGCGCTGTCTTAATAGGTCTTTGTATTGTTGCATCTGCCTGTTAACCCGTCAGCTCACCACTGACCATGTAGTCTACAATTTTTTGGTAAAGTTCCCTGGGCAGAAACATTTTGCTCCTTATGAGTCCTATTCTCAATCCTCCAAGAGAATTTCTCTGTGATATTTTGCACTTGTTACTTTCTTTGTAAACTGTCAAACTATGCCACACATGTCTAGAATCAAATGAAACACAACCACTGGCCAATGTCTTTGTGATTTGAGTAACTTCATAGTTGCTATATACTCATTAAACTTTGATTCTACTCTTCCCTTGATTTTATTGTACCATCTCAGATTCCAGTTTTGTCCAGAAACTGTTAGAAACAAAAGAGCTGAGTCCCTCCCATCCCTGCCCTCCTCTACTCTCCATTCCCTTTCTCTTGTCTTCCCTTCCCTTCCTTCAAATATAAATGTCACACTACCTTAATGTATTACCTAACACTATTAATATATTTTAAAATATATTTATAATATATTAATAATACACAAAAATGTGGTAAAGTGTTCTTCAATAGTCGTGTTCAGATGGTGTGTAAATTGCTTGACCTTTTGAAACACAACTTTCAAACCATGAGTGGATAGCAGCCAGATGATCAGTGCTTTTTCTTTCTTGTTGAGTGATTTGTCAACAAATCTAAGGCAATTTTTCACAAACCTCAAGCCCACACCTGTAAGTCTTTACATTCCTTCAATTAGCAAGAGAAAGCTCTGCTAAGTACAACAGACCTGTGAATGGTTTCAGTTCAGCCAGTGAAGTGTCATAATAGACACATTTTTAAGTACGTCTATTGGTGCATGCAGAACATTTTACTTGTGTTTCATCATTTGTGGGTTTCACAACATCTTGTGACAGTTTGTCTGTTACAGTTTTCAGCTTTGAGTGGGAGTGCTGGCATTCCATTCAGTAGGCTTCACCTGGCCAAAATCCTCACCATATTTTGCACGTGGTTCTAACATTGGATTGTTCCATTTGCTTGTGTGGCGTTTTGTACCATTTTGACTAGTCAAATATGTGTTAACATTACTGTTTTCTTTATCATCTGAATCAGGGAGATCTCCATTCTCTGTTTGTAGTGGTCAATTCTTGCTCCATTTCACTGCTGTGGGAACTGTGGCTCACACAGCCAATGTCATCACCTGTGCATGAGTCACCTGATTATTTACTTTAGACTTCCTCAACACTTGCAAATCTAGCTTTTCATGTGCCATTGCACTGAATTGGGCTACTTCTACCAAAAATATCAAAAAACTAATTAAAAAACTAATCCTAAATGCACACACCTGGCACTATTATACACACCTGTGTCCATCTGCCAGATGGATAAATGCACAGACAAGGTCTTGCTGTCCCATGCCCAGCTGCTGGGAGCCGTGCCTGTGTTCCATAGGGTAAAGTATATGTTCACTTAACAGAAAATGGTGTGGGTGTATTTTACCCCCTGCAATGCTCAGGTAAGCAAACACAAAATCTGTTAGATGGAACATTATGTGGTAAAAATCCAGGTTTGACACTTTGGCACAGGTGCACATATCTTACCATTCATTGTACCAAATGAATAACACAAAGATTCCTTCTGGTGTCCCCCAGGCACAGCTACTGAGAGGCACAGCTGGCTACTATTATGCTA